AGCCTTGCATATATTTGACCTTGAGGGCAAGGCCTCATGTCACGCATGCACACTAACCATGGTCCCAGTGGTCTGACATCTAAGACCCCTGACTCCGCAACAGAGCGTGTGATCTCTGGCACACGGCCAGTTGTGTGTATGCACCACAGCTAAAGTGTGCAACAGTTAGGGGCTGGAGCAATAGCACAGCGGGTAGGGTGTTAGCCTTGCACGCGGCCAACCCGGGTTCGATTCCCAGCATCCCATATGGTCCCTCGAGCACCGCCAGGAGTAATTCCTGAGTGCATAAACCAGGAGTAACTCCTGTGCATCGCTGGGTGTGACCCAAAAAGAAAAAGAAAAGTGTGCAACAGGTGCACCATGATTAAAGGTGTGTGAGCACTGTGGCCAAGAGTGTGGCCCCCCTGCGAGCATGTTTGTGAGCACCACAGGGACCAGAACTTGCAGAGCAATGGTTTCTTGTATGGACCACATCTTTGGGATTTTATCTTAAGAGACATGACCATGCTCAAGATCAGTAGTTTTCTTTAATTCACAGTAGAAAGTGTCAGTAAGAAGTTCATAAATGGAATTTTTTCTCTCCATGTTGAGATGCCCAAAGAATGATCATGGATTTTCTTCACTAAATCATGTGCAAATTAAACTCATCTCTTTGTAATATTTTGCTGAATGAAAAAATACGAGGTCAACAGTTAAAGCAGGGTGCTGGGCTAACAGCGGCATCTGGAAAACCCGGGTTCCTGCTGGCATGAAAGGTCTTTGGAAACGTGGTTCTCGTTCTTTTAGCTCTCACTCACGCAGCGCTTTGCTTTGGCAGAGTCATGTTTTCCTCCACAGCTTTGTATTTGTTGTTACTCTGCCTGGAAACTCTTTTCCTTCCTCCTCTGACTAATTCCTCCTTATCCGATAACCGCAGAATTTGGCATCATTTTATTTCGGTGCTTTCCCCTTTCTATGTATTCTCTGTTCTCCTTTGGACTTTTGCTCAGTCGCTTCTTCTTGACCGTTTCAAATCACGTTTTGTCCATTATTCCATTATTTAAGAGTCCGGCCTTTTCTTCCCTCTTGTGGCAGTTATTGGATAATGGGACATGCGCCAGGTGATAAGTGCTGTTGATGAATGCTTCTGAGAACATATTTGTGTTTTCCTGTGGCCCAGTGGTTGAGTCCTGGTTTTCAGAGACTGTGTGTGCAGGACTTTTATTAGTATTTTTATTATTATTATTATTTTTTCCTTCTTTTTTTGTAGGAGTACTGCTATTTATTCAGCCACTGATTAGCTGATTGAATTGTGCATGAACTCCACCTTACTTTTTTTTTTTCTTTTTCCATTTTTTGTAATTTTATTTATTGAATCACCGTGACAGCAGTTACAAAGCTTTTGGGTCTAAGTCTCAGTCATACAATGAAACACCCGTACCTTCACCAGTGCCCATTCTCCACTACCAAAAATCCCAGTATACCCCCATCCCACACCCTCCCCCTGCCTGTGGGGCAGGCGATTTCTACATTACTCTCTCTCTACTTTGATCACATTCACTATTTCGACACCAGACCCACCATTATTTAAGATTTTACCCCAACACTCAGATCTGCTGAAAAGGCAACAGTGTACAATTTGTGTTCTATTGCTGGTTATGAATAACATATGATGTCGTGTGGCTGCAGTAGGGCCATGCGGTTTTGAAGTTCTGAAATTTTAACACTTAAATCTGGAGGGATTTCTGGCAAAAGCCACTGGGTTTAGAGATCTGCTCCTGAGTCTCTGGGATCATGACCGTTGAGCAGCTTGATGAGGAGCCAAAGAGGCCATTCGCGGGCGATGACTTGGGGTCTCATTGGGGTGAGGAAGACAGGCCCGGCTCCACCTCCCCCCCATCCCGTGAGACACAACAAGTTTCGTCACTGCGGGCCCCAGCCTGACTGTCCAATGGCCTCTGGAGGATGACAGCCACCAAGTCGCCAAGAGGGAGCAGGCGGAGGGACAGCACCCATTCCCCCCTGGGGTGGCCCGGTGACAGTAACCTACTGCGGGGTCCGGACACATTTCTGACAAAAGCCGCTGGGTTTCGAGATCTGTTTCTGAGTCTCTGGGATCAAGGCCATTGAGCAGCTTGATGAGGAGCCAGAGAGGCCATTTGTGGGCGATGACTTGGGGTCTCGTTAGGGTGGGGAGGACAGGCCCGGCTCCACCTCCCCCCCATCCCGTGAGACACAACAAGTTTTGTCACTGCGGGCCCAAGCCTGACTGTCCAATGGCCTCTGGAGGATGACAGCCACCAAGTCGCCAAGAGGGAGCAGGCGGAGGGACAACACCCTTTCCTCCCTGGGGTGGCCCGGCGACAGTAACGTACTGTGGAGTCCGGATATATTGCTGCCAAAAGCCACTGGGTTTTGAGATTTGTTTCTGAGTCTCTGGGATCATGGCCGTTAAGCAGCTTGATCAGGAGCCAGAGAGGCCATTCGTGGGCGATGACTTGGGGTCTCGTTGGGGTGGAGAGGATAGGCCCGGCTCCACCCTCATCCCGTGAGGCCCTGTGTGTCTCGTCACTGGGGGCCCAAATGTGACAATCCAGTGGCCTCAGACGGATGGCGGCCACTGGGCCGCCAGGGGGAGTAGGCCAAGGCACGAAACCTATTCCCACCTGGGTTGGCCCAGCACCGGTAGCCTACTGCAGAGACCAGACGCATTTCTACCTAAAGCCACTGGGTCTGAGATTCGTTTCTGAGTCTCTGGGATCATGTCCATTAAGCAGTTCAATCAGGAACCAAAGAGGCCTTGCCTCCAATTATATAGCTGAGCCGGGGGTGGTTTGTGGGTGTGTTTCCCACATACCTAACTTTTGGCCGTTTACTTTCTTGGTAAACTTTGTCCCAAGTTTTTGGGGTCTGGCCAAAGGCACAGCAGCAATTTGGGGGTATCTGGAAGTCTGAAGGTGCCATGAGGCTGCTGATGCACTCGCCTCACAGATACAGATTGACCTGCTGGCGGCACCATACCCCCTTATTATTATTTTTTTGAACAGCCTTTGTGACATTCAGAGTTTACTCCTGGCTCTCTGCTCAGGGGTCACTCCTGATGGGTTTCAGGGGTCCCTAATGTGGTGTCAGGGACCGATCCAGGGTCTGGTACATGCAAGTCAAGTGCCTTACTTGCTGTACCATCTCCCTTGCCTCTGCAGGACTATTTTTAAAGGTGTAGACATAAAATACATTAACTTCTGTTTGTAATATTTTTAGACACACAAGAAGAAATTGTGATTTTTTTAGCATTTGATGTTTTGGTTGAGAAAGTACGTGTGTCTTAACATTATGAATCTAGGGGCTGGAGCAATAGCACAGCAGGTAGGGCATTTATTTGCCTTGCACATGGCCAACCGGGGTTCAATTCCCAACATCTCATATGGTGCTCGGGGGACCAGGAGTAACCCCTGTGCTTCGCCGGGTGTGAACCAAAAAGCCAAAAAAAATTTATAAATCTAAGTTGACATTCATAAAGTGCATGAAATATATGGGTTCATTGAATGCTCCATCATGGAAGTTTGAAGACTGTTGTCTAGGGCGTCACTAACAGCCTCTGGGAGCCTCTCTGCAGGCTTTCTGGCAATAGAATAACTGACTTTCATACAGGATTTCCTCTGTGCCAGACACTGTTCTATAGACCTCATAGGCATTCACACATTCAGTTATCACAGGTAACCTATGGCATGGTTTGATTATTAATAGGCTCTTATTCTGGGTGAGGAAAGTGAGCTGGGAGAACCAAGTCACTTGTTCAAGGATGGGGCTCGTATGTGACTGATTTGGGGTAGGGCTGTTTTGGTCTGATTTCTGAGGTCACTCATTGTACCTTGCTGTGTGTTGTGCCCTTATGCCTGTCTTCCCCTGGGAGACCCACATGATCTTCAGGAAGAAGGATGATGTTTGTCTGGTTTCTTGTGCCCTTAATAAATATTTCCTAAATGAATGGTAGAACTGATACCCTATCACCAGCTCTGAATTTATGTCTCTTAAATGGGAACTTTGGATAAGCTCTTTTTTTTACATTTAACTTGAGCCATTCTGTTTTTCTTGAAGTAACTGGTCTGCTAAGAAATGGGCATGAATTAAAGGCAGCCTATGTTTAGAAACTGCATGAAAAAAATCCTGCCACATTCTAATATTAATGAGTCATCTCTGAGTCGCTGCTCACTCCTGTCATGAGTAATGTCTTCCTTATCTTCCTTCATCATGAGGGTATGAGAACATAAGGAATAAATCTTAGATTCTTTCTGTAAACTATGTAAAGCGCCCTTCAAACGTGGATAACCTAGAAACAGCAGCAATAGCAGCAGCAACAATGACAGAAAATTTAACAGGAAACAGAAGCAGAATTCACTAAGTTTGGGGAGAATCACCCATTGATAGTTTTTTGAGTCTGGCTCAACTTTCATTAAATTTTTGGTCCAATGCTGTCCAATAGGCTCCCAGGTGTTTTGGTCATGAAAGCTGTTGTTTTGTTGAGGTTTGTTGTCAATTGGTATAAACCTCAGATACTAGAAAATAGACCTGAGAGTATCAGGTCGGTGGGGGGGGGGGGGAGGGATGAGGATGAAGTTGCTGGGAATTGACCCTAGAACATAGGTAGGGGGTCTCCAGTACGTGCTAAGGGAGGAAACCAACTGCATGAAAATAATTGTCAGTCAACAAGTAGTGAGGTGGGGTGGGGGGACATTGGACTGAAGGTGACGGGTGGGGGAGGGTCCTGGGCACTTTGGTGGCAGGGATGGGTAGTGTGGGTACATCAGTATCAGAAACTTGAATGCTTTTGTAACCCAGTTACCTAAACCATAATAATTAAAATGATTCACTTAGTTTGACAGTCATAAGTTTAATAGAAATTTAATCTAACAATCCTAGATTTATGATTCCTCTTCATGTAAGAGTATTAGGAAAGTCTTTATGAGTTCTGTATTGTATCATGAAATTCAAATTAAGACTGATTTCTTTTTTTCTTTTAGGGTCTTTCAAGACGCTTACTCTTCCATCTGTAAGTATCTAGTTAAAAAAAATCGGTTTCAGAAATAGACATTTTATCAGTAAATTAAATTAACTATTTTTGTTGTTGTTGTTGTTGTTTTGGGACCATACGTGGCAATGCTCAGGGGTCACTCCTGTTATGCACTTAGTAATCGCTCCTGGCAGTGCTCCAGGGAGCATATGGGATGCCCAGAATCAAACTCAGATTGACCTCATGCAAGGCAACGGTACAACCTTCTGTACTCTGTCTCTGACACCCAAATTAACTCTTTTCTAATTGACTTTTGTAGTTATTTCCTTGTGACTGTCTTGAAGTTAGTTCCTCCAGTCATATTTCTTCAAGGATTGATTATTAAACTCTTCAAGAGTATTGTGTAGAGACTTTCCTCTTGTTAGATAACTGACCAGGACTATGATTAGCCCAGAAGCCTGGGATGGTTCGGGCCTGCATCAGCCATAATGTGCCCTGCAGGCTCGGGTGTCAGAGCTGGCAACTGGTCCTCAGCTTTTTTGTCCTGGAAGTGGCAGTGCCACACTGGGCTCCTGTGGACCTGAGGCTAAAGGAGGTATCACTGATGCTGATCCTGTCTCTGTTTCACTTTTTTTTTATTGTTTTTGCCCGTTATTTGCTTTTTTGCATTGTTTTTGATATTTAAAAATATCACATATCCTTATTTCTTCTGAAAATGAAAATATTAAAAATATTTATTCGGATTTCTGAGTTTTGTGGTACCCTTCCCATTTTTTTGGCCACACTCAGCAGTGCTCTGGGCTTACTCCTGGTTATGCGTTCAGGGGTTCAGTGAGGGGTGCTGGGGATTGAACTTGGGTTGGCTACATGCAAGACAAGCACCTTAGTCTCTATACTATATCTCCAGCCAATCTCCTTAAATTCTGTACCACAGACTATTGCCTCACTTACCTCACTGTAGTACCCACTTTGGAAAACAGAATAAAGATGCTATTTCTTTATCCTTTTTTAAAAAAATTGAATCACTGTGAGAAACAGTTACAAAGCTTTCATGATTGAGTTTCAGTTATACAATGATATAACACCTATCTCTTCACCAGTGTAATTTTCCACCACCAATATCCCCAGTGTTGGTGGGGATCCACAACTCCTCACTTCACCCCCTGCCTCTATGGGTGAAGTGGGATTTGTGGAAGAGATACACACTAAGATACACAAACTTTCTCTCTCTCTCTCTCTCTCTCTCTCTCTCTCTCTCTCTCTCTCTGTCTCTCTCTCTTACTCTTACTCTCTTTCTACTTTTGGGCGTTAGGGTTTGTGATATAGATACTGAGAGGCTATCATGTTTGGTACTTTGTCGACTTTCAGCACACATCTCCCATCCCAAGCAATCCCTCCAACCATCATTGACTTAGTGGTCCCTTCTCTATCCCAACTGCCTTTCCCCCCAGCACAAGAGGCATCCTTCCAACTGTGGAGTGATCCTCCTCTCCCTTGTCTCTACTGCCCTTGGGTGTTAGCCTCATACTATGTTATTTTATATTCCACAAATGAGTGCAGTCCTTCTATGTCGGTTCCTCTCTTTCTGACTCATTTCACTTAGCATGATACTCTCCATGTCCATCCACTAAGATGTTGTTTTTATTTCATGGGAGATGCCCTGGAGGTGAGATGAGAGGTGAAAATTCTGTCCAGTTGCTGTCAGAGTGGAAAGGGGTCATTATTTTATTGAAAGAGACATCAAACCCGAGCACAAAATATTATTTATAAGCTCATCCCACTCACCATAGCTTCGATTGGGCAGTTTGTACGTTTACTTTAGTTCCCTCTTTGTTATTTATTTATTTTTAACAGAATCACCATGAGATGTACAGTTACAAAGTTGTTCATTGATTGGGTTTCAGTTATACAATGTTCCAAGATCCATCCTTTCACCAGTGAAGTTTGTACTTTTCTTAGGATACCCTATTCGGTATGCCGAAAACAGTAACAAGTCTCACAATGGAGACATTACTGGTGCCCTGTTAGAGCAAATCGATGAGCAATCTACAGTGCTACTTTGTTTTAAAGCGTTTGCATGTTGAGTGTGCAGTAGAGTAGACATAGCATCCAACTAGAGATACAATCTGTTCAACTTTGTGGTGAGAAGATGAGGAAAGACTGACCTGATGAGGCATGTATTTGTGTAAGATCAGATTTATCTGCTGAGCCAGGTCCTGGGTGACCTTTGAAGGTTATTTGTCACATTCAGACACCACATTCATTTGGGCAATGCCTAGAGAATACAGTGCTTCTAAACATTTGTGAGACTTGTTACTGTTTTTTGGGTATTGAATACGTCACAGGGAGCTTGCCAGGCTTTGTCATGAGGGCAATATACTCTCAGTAGCTTGCTGGGCTCTCTGAGAGGGGCAGAGGAATTAAACCGGCTGCGTGCAAATGCCTTATCCACTGTGCTATCGCTCCAGCCTATATACATATATATATATATATATATGCTGCTCGCCCGCACGGCAGAACCTGGCAAGCTCCCCATGACGTATTCGATATGCCAGACACAGTAACAACAAAGTCTCCAATGGAGACGTTACTGGGCCCGCTTGAGCAAATCGATGATCAACGGGAGGGCTGCTCTTCTGTTAATAGTGGGGAACAGAAGAATAGTAGGCTGAAGTTCGTGTATGTGTGTGTGTGTGCATGTGTATGAGAGAGAGAGAGAGAGAGAGAGAGAGAGAGAGAGAGAGAGAGAGAGAGAATGTGTATCTTAGTGAGCCAATCTCAGCAACTGTCACTGTCACTGTCACTATCCTCCCTTTGTTCATTGATTTGCTCGAGAGGGCCCAGTAACATCTCCATTGGAGATTTTGTTGTTACTGTGTTTAGCATATCGAATACATCACGGATAGCTTGCCAGGCTCTGCCATGCGGGCGAGATACTCTCGGTAGCTTGCCGGGCTCTCCGAGAGGGGCGGAGGAATTGGGTCGGCCATGTTGGCTGCGTGCAAGGCAAACGCCCTACCGCTGTGCTATCGCTCCAGCCCCTCAGCAACTGTAAAATATTTAATTACATTATTGTAACCTAAGAAGTTAGAAAACATTCAGTATGCACTCAGGCATATGCACCATTGCCTGGATGTGTAACTATCAATTGACTGCTCCAGTGAGCATATTAGGTCCTGTGCAATGTCATTACTCTATAAAAAAAGGATGTAGGATTTCAGTTCAAGCACGTACCTCAAAGCCCAGTAACGGTTTCCTTAAAGAACTCTGCAGTTGCAAGGAGGAAGTGTATACAGAAAGACTTAAAGTCTTAACTTGTGTTAATTCTGATAATGCAAGTGTAATATTAACATGTGCTCATTAAAAGTAACATTAGCTGAAAATTTGACAACTATTATTTCAAGTCTTAACTGTATGAAATCCAATCCCACCACATCTCTCTATCTACCTAATATTTCGCCTTTTCTACTGTGTACAGCAGTAGCAATGATTTGGTGAAAACTTTGCTAGAGACTGTACTTACAAATATATCCCTTTTTTAGTAAAACAAGATTTAAAGATAGCCATAACATATCTGGGGAATTTTGATAATGCTTAGCAAAAACAAAAGGTACTGCGCTGGAAAGATAATGCAGGGTTATGGCACTTGCTCTGCATATGCACTTGAACTTGGTTCTATCCCTGGCACCGCATAAGGACTCAAGCACCACAAGGAATGACACCCCTCTCCGTGCCCAATACAGACCTGGAGGTAGCTCCAGAGCACTGCCAAGTGTAGCCCAAAGACAAAGAAAGAGAGTAAATGACTCAGTGGCCGTTAAAAACAATATGAAAGAAAGTCTCGCATTTGCAAGCTACCAAGAGTATCCCGCCCGCACGGCAAAGCCTGGCAAGCTCCCTGTGATGTATTCGATATGCCAGACACAGTAACAGCAAGTCTCACAATGGAGACGTTATTGGGCCTGCTCGAGCAAATTGATGAACAATGGGAGGACAGTGCTATTGTCATGTTGGTCCTTTCTCTATCCTAACAGAAGGCGATTAAAAAAAATTGTTTTTTTTTTTTTTGTTCTTTGGGCCACACCTGGCTCTCCTCAGGCCTTACTCCTGGCTCTGTGCTCAGGGATCTCCTGGCCAGACTCACGGGACCATATGGGGTGCTAGGGATTGAACCCTAGAAAGCCGCATGCACGGCAAATGCTTTACCCACTGTACAATCCTAGAAGTTAAAAGCATAATTCATGTTTACTGGAAAGTTTTTTTTTTTTTGTATAAAATGTGTCATAACAATCTTAGTTTTCTGTAAATAAATGTAACTTATGTGAGGGAGTGTCTTTTTTTTAAGTTAGAAATTATTTTTTTTTCTTTGCTTTTGGCGCATACCTGGTACTCATGGTAGCTTCCAAGGAGACACTCACTCACCCCATTGAGATATTTTAATTAATTGATTAATTAATTAATTTCTGTGTCTCCCAAGGAGCTCTGAAGGCATAGGCACCGCTTCCTGAGACTCTCAGCGAACCGGCCTCCTTTCTGTGTGGGAGACTGAGGGGCAGTGCTGCCCAGACCCTGCTACTTAGTCACCTGGGAGGTGCTTAAAGCTTGCAGGGCTGTACCCAACAGTACTCAGGGACCATATGGTGCCAGGAATTGAATCGGGTCAGTTCCTTTCAAGACGTGCCCCTGAACCCTGTACTGTCTCTGGCTCCTAAATGTTTTTTTTTTTTTTTTAAATTTTTGGGCCACCCCTGGTGATGCTCAGGTGTTTCTCCCGGCTATGCACTCAGGAATTACTCCTGGCGGTGCTAGGGAACCAAAAATGGGTGCCAGGGATGGAATTGGAGTTGGCACTGTGCAAGGCAAATGACCTACCTGCAGTATTATATTGCTTTGGCCTCACCTAAATGGTTTTTAAGGATTAAGTATCATGGATTTTTTTTTTTTTTTTTATAGACTGTTTTTCAGGTGTTCCACTGAAAAACACAATTTTTTTTTTAATTTTTTTTTTTTATTTTTTTTTTTATAATTTATTTATTTAT